GTGAGACGGAGTTTGTTGGTGCCGGTGGAAGTGCAAGTGGCGCATTCGTCACTGCAAGCTTGCTTCCAGGTTTACGCCATTTCCTGCTGCAGCTCCCGGGTGTGGGACTACGGCGGCCGCCACCTCGCCCCGGCTAGTTTTTTTTGTAATTTTTTAGTAGGACGCGGGGTTCACGTATTAGCCAAAGTCTCGATCTTCGACGATGCGATGGATTTTCCGTCCGGGGGTGCGTCACCACAAAGTGGCTGCGAGGAGATAATTACAGGGCTTGAGCCCCGCGCCCGAGCCAAGGCTACTCGATTATATATTTTTTTGATATTATTTATTGTTTGGTTGTTGAGAGTCAGTGGTGTGTTAAGCTGTGGTTGCACGGGCTGGATTGAACACCTGGTCAGTCGCGATCGCCCCTCGATGCCCCCGTGGCTGTCATTGGGAGCTAGCTGGGGTTGTTCGAATTTAATTGTGTTTTACATTTTTGCGGAGGATATTTTATTTTTGAGGATGGTTAAATAGGTCTCAAGTCCTGTGTGTGGTAGACAGGCTGGAGTGTTGTGTGTCATAGTAGATTGCTCGGCTGCATGCAACTGCACCTCTTGGGGTTAGCATTCTTGGTCCTCGAGCTCCGTCAATGTGGTGTTGCAGGCGACCGGATAGTGATGCTCTAGGTCGGTTTTTTGTATTTTGTGTGTGTAAGAACGGGCTTTTCGAAAAAATGTTGTGGTGGAAAGACAGAATTTGGTGTTGGGAATAAATCCTGGATTTCTGGTAATCCCGCTTCGCCCTCCCAAAGTCTTCGGGGTTACAGGCGTGAGCCCCACGGCGGCCGGCCTTCTTGCGGAATTTTGGGAGGACCCCAGGCGGTCATAAAAATAGGATGTTTAAGAATATAAAGATGACTCCGACATTGTGGGCATGCTACCAAGGAATGTGTTTGAGAACGTGTCTCCTCTAGTGGTCAGCCGGGTATGTAATACTGAGAACTTTTTGTTGTTGGTGAGGGCTGGATTAGTGGTGAAGCAGCATCTGTGTTGAGCTGTATTGTCGTGCGCGGATATGGGTCAGGAAGAATGGAGCATGCTGGCTAGAAACGGTGAAAAACCCGTCCTCAATATACAAAATTATGTTGAGGCGTGGCGGCGCGGTGCTCACGGCCTGTAATCCAGACTTTGGAGGCCGAGAGTGGGTGGATCACCGAGGTCAGGCCAAGATCCGAGACTGATTGCCTAGGCTTTCAGAGTGAACGCACGGTATGATATGGAAATATAGAAAAACGTGCCCAGAGGGGAGGTGAAGTGCGGGTGACCTGATCGTGATTGTCGGAAGGTACTGGTGATCTCAAAAAAATAAATTAAAGATAGCTGGGCACATTGGCTGGCACTTGTAATCCGACCTACTTGACAGGCTGAGGCAGGAGGATCGCTTGAGGCCTGGGCAACATCATGAGACCCTGTCTCTAGAAATAATATAAAAATTAGCTGGGCATAAGTGGCTCAAGTTTGTAGTTCCAGCTACCTGGGACGCTGAGGCGGGAGGATTGCTTGAGCCCAGAAATTTGAGGCTGCAGTGAAGTATGATTGCACCACTGCACCCAACCTGGGTGACAGAGTGAGACCCCATCTCTTTTTTGGTTGGTTGGTTTGTTTTTGAGATGGAGTTTCGCTCTTGTTGCCCAGGCTGGAGTGCAATGGCGTGGTCTCGGCTCACCGCAACCTCTGCCTCCCAGGTTCAAGCAATTCTCCTGCCTCAACCTCCCGAGTAGCTGGGACTACAGGCATGCACCACTATGCCCAGCTAATTTGTTGTTGTTGTTGTTGTTGTTGTATTTTTAGTAGAGACGGGGTTTCTCCATGTTGGTCAGGCTGGTCTCCAACTCCCAACCTCAGGTAATCCCCCAACTTGGCCTCCCAAAGTGCTGGGATTATAGGCATGAACCATTGTGCCCAGCCTGAGACCCCGTCTCTTAAAAAAGAAAAAGAAAAAGAAAAAAAAGCCGGGTGTGGTGGCTCACGCCTGTAATCTCCAAACTTGGGAGGCTGAGGCGGGTGGATCACTTGAGGTCAGGAGTCCGTGACCAGCCTGCCAACATGGTGAAACCCCATCTCTACTAAAAATACAAATATTAGCTGGGCATGGTGGTGGGCACCTGTAATCCCAGCTACTGGGGAAGGAGGCTGAGGTAAGAGTCAATTGAACCCAGGAGGCAGAGGTTGCAGTGAGCCGACATCGCGCCACTGCACTCCAGCCTGGGCGACAGAGTGAGACTCAGTCTCAAAAAAAAAAAAAAAAAAAAGAAGAAAAAGAAGAAATTCAAGATGAAAGAAAACAAAAATTCCAAAAAGTTGAGAAAGAATTGCCTTTTGTCCAGCCCCACTCCCAACCCTGTTGTCATGTGTGATTCTGTTTTCTTCCAGTCTCGTTTCCTCTCAGTCCATCCACCCTTCATGGGGCCAGAGCCCTCTCTCTAGAATCTGAGCAGCAATGCCGTTTGCTGAAGACAAGACCTATAAGTATATCTGCCGCAATTTCAGCAATTTTTGCAATGTGGATGTTGTAGAGATTCTGCCTTACCTGCCCTGCCTCACAGCAAGAGACCAGGTGAGCAAGGGAAGTAACAACCGGATACTGGCCTGGGGGCAGGACTGTGGAATTCAAAGCTCAGCCCTATCCTAGTTCCTCACCCAAGCCAGGGCTGGCTCCTTCCTTCTGCCTCTTGCTGTGTCTTGCTCCTTGTCCTTGCTGCTTTTCATTTTTTTTTGAGACAGAGCCTCACTCTGTCGCCAGGCTGGAGTGCAGTGGCATGATCTTGGCTCACTGCAACCTCCGCCTCCCGGGTTCAAGTGATTCTCCTGCCTCAGCCTCCCGATCCGAGTACTGGCATTACAGGTGTGTCGCCACCATCCCAGTAATTTTTGGTGTTTTTAATAGAGACGGGTTTCCCAGTTGGCCAGGGATGTCTCGATCTCTTGACTCGGGGTCCACCTCCTCGCCTCTGAAAATGCTGGGATTACAGGCGGTGAGCGCCATTGCTGCTTTTCTATACTTTTGGTGAAGGTGTGGCTCGGGTGTGGTCATTGCTGACTTCGCCGAACTCCCCATTGGTTTGTTTTTGTAACCTGCTCAAAAACCATTGGCACTGCCTCTCTGAGATTTTCCTGGCTTCTGGGTACACTTGCCCACTTTTTTTTGGAACTCCTATATTCCCTTCATCTATCCTGCACTTCCTTGTCCTGGCCTCAGTTATTTGATTCATCTCCTTGGCATGGGCGCCTTGTCCTGGCACACGCACTGGACTCAGGTTTGAGACCAGGAGGCAGTCCGCTCTAGCCCCAACAGAACTTGCTGCAGCGCCTGGCACTCACTAGCTGGTGAAACGAGGCACCAACCCCTTCCCCGTTGTACTGGCTATTCTCAGACTTGGACCCCTGTGCTCCAGAGGTACCTGTTGGCTCTTTTGGGCCGTCCTGTCCTCAGATTTCTCAGGAGCCCCATTGCTGTCTCTGGGTCCTCCCACACAGATCGTGTTAGTATGCATTCTGTTTTGGGTTTGCCCCTCCCTCTTGTATTTTTGGGTTTATAGGATATCTTGTTTTGTAGTAAATATTTCTGTGGGTTTGATTTTCTTAAAAAAATTTTTTTTTGAGACAGAGCTCCACTCGTTTGGCCCAGGTTGGAGTGCAGTGGTGTGATCTTAGTTCACTGCAACCCTCCGCCTCCTGGGTTCAGTGATCTCCGCCTCAGCCTCCTGAGTAGCTGGGGTTACAGGCGCATGGCACCACACCTGGCTAGTTTTGTATTTTTTTTTTTTTTTTTGAGACGGAGTCTCACTCTGTTCCAGGCTGGAGTGCAGGTGGCGCAGTCTCACTCACTGCGAGCTCTGCCTCCTTGGTTCACAACATTCTCCTGCCTCAGCCTCCCCGATAGTGGGACTACAGGCGCCTGCCACCATTGCCGACTAATTTTTTGTACTCTTCGTAGAACTGGTCTTCACTCGG